TTTTTTCCTTTTGGTAGGAGGATGTGTAATTTCTATTACATGCATTGTTTACAGATGAGATTCTATCTGGATCATCATAGCAACCTCACTGCTGAATTGGAGAGAAGAGAATGCATTTCATGTGCTGTAGAGATGTGTGACCTCACTCTGAAACTGTATCCCGCAAGGATTCGGTCAATAGGTGTCTGCAAATCATATTCCGAAGTAGGGCAAAGTAGGGCAGATCCGGAAGCAGGGCTCCCCCGTGGCCTGTGGAGTAGAGCAGGGCAGCAGATGTGATTCCCAGTGCCGTGCTGGCACTTGCAGCTGGAATGTGGATTCCAGGTTCACCCTTTCCCTGCATTCTTCATTCTTCATTCAATCGCTCATCCCATACCTGCAGCTACATTTACAGCCTTTGGGCCTGACTCCCTGCTACTGTGCATCATGTGCAGTCATGGATACCTCGGCTGAAAACTGCTGCTCTTCTGATTCAGCAACATTATACACCTACTTTGCACAGGGGTAAATGGTTGTGCAGTGCGAGAGAGAATCAGGCCTTTCATCTCTGCACTGCGTCCTTGGTCCAAGCGCTGCAGGTGGCAAAGGCTGACCTCACTCTGTAGGTCACAATTTATAACAGCAGCAGCACTTGGTTTCCGTTGCTGACCTTCTCCGTGGCTTCTGACTGCTGGCGTGCTAAGGTCTTCGCATAAGATACCAACCCAATTTTGTTTAGCCTTGGAAAACACATTCCCTCCTCCAAGGAATGTCCATAGTTTGCTTGATCTCCTGGGTTGCTAACGATTGCTTTGTGACCTGTATTGTGGAAAATTGATACATGTGGCTAGGATGTGTTGCTCCATCTTCTTCGCCTCTCCACTTCTGACGTGGCTTCAGCAACTCTACCGCATGGACTAGCTTTATCCGTTTGACACGGCCTTCACTCCAACACATTTTGAGACAGCGGCAGTGACAATACTTGGCATTGAAATAGCACTTCACATGCGCAAAGCAATGCATAGACATTAATCAATTACAAACACCCCTGTGGGATAGGGAGAATAAGCTAAAAGTGACCAAATTCTGGACCAGACCAATCATGATCATTCATCATTTCAGCTGCTTGTCTCAGATCCGTCAGATGGATCTGATGGGAGGATTTTGCCATTAGAGCCCGTACATTGTTCTCAAACAGAGCAGTTAGATTATAGCAAGGCTAAGATTAGCAGTTTAAGAGGCCACATCTCCAGAGTGCAGTCTGAAGCAGAGCGTCCCTCTATATTTGTGGATAAGAAGCAAAGCTGGCAATCCCACAGTGGTTTCCTTTGTTCCTGGACATTCGAATGTATCCTTTGTCACCGAAATATTCACCCCAGCTGTTGGAAGGAGTAATAACACAGAATTAAACATTAAGAGAATAAAACATCTTTCTTTATAGGCAGGGTTCCCCTCCCCCATTTTCTCATGTGTTTCAAGCTGTTTAACAAAGTGCATCCAATTCATACTAGTACAGACACATACAAGCACAGTTCTACACAGCTTACTCATGCCCCACGCATATCCCAGGAGCACGTTAGTCTATAGATAAATACGGCTCAGTGATGGATTTTCTTTTACCTGTTTTTCACAAGCCAAAAGTCCTTCCCGTCCAGGGTGCCATAGCCGATAGCTAGAACCGCATGATTCGTGTCACCAGTGCATCGTGGATCATCGTAGACACCTGGAAGGAAAGAATTCGCAATCACAAGGGAGGAAAAAAAGCCAGCAGGGACTTCTCTTCTCAGTAAAGTTGTTGTGAGCAACAGCACCCACATGGTACCAACATGCCTCTAACCTGGTCCCCTGTAAGGGGGTAAGAATAACAATCCCTCACTCTTTTCATCAGTAGATCATAAAGCAGGTCAATTTCATTTTCTTCATTGTGCAGATGGAGAAACTGAGGCACAGAGCAGGCAGTGACTTGTCCTCAGGCTAGAACCCAGCTCTCCTAAGCCTCAGTCCAGCGCACTGTCTACTGGGAAGTTTAATTTCCATGGCCTGTACAATCATTGAAAGGCTCCATTGCCCCACCCATCCCGTGAGTTATTTCGGTATCCCAATGCCCATAAATACCGGGAAGGAATCTTCCTCCCACTACGGTCCCCTCACAATGTTCCCTTAAAAGCCCCAAATCCAGTACTCCCCCAGCACAGGAACCGAGTAAGACAGTCACAAGCTGTCTTAGGAGGCCCCGTTCCGAAAGCTCTGGCCTAGGGGACATGCCAGTCAGCCAGGATTAGGGTCTACAGCAATTCTGTCTGGCGCTTGGGAGTTTGCCATAACTTATGCACCATCCAAGGCTGCCTAAATTACGCCAGGAGCCACCTCAACCCCAGAACTGGGCTGAACGGCCATTTTAGAGCCGCCCTGGGCTGAGTTTGGTGCCGCACAAAATTGCGGCCATAATATCTGACAGTGCCTGGAATACAATCCAGTCAATACTCATTAAAAAAAAGCCCAGGTTAATGTAAGCCATGCCCACTCGGTGGGGCGTTCTGTCCCCCTCTAGTGGTGTTTCAGCCACAGAACGGTTGATGAGCCTGCCACAGCCTTGGCTAAAAGAGGTTGGGTCTTTTAGCTCCAGCAAGAAAGGCTCATGCGTTAAGCTCCAGAAGTCCCAGTCCCTGCTGCCCACCCCAGCGCACTGGCATTACATTAACATGAGTGAAGGGTCCACACTGGGGTGCTATTTTAATGACACCCCGTAAGACACCAGCAGCGATTGAACCTGGGGTCATTAGCCCTTGGAGCACCTTTTGAGCTAAAGGAGCATCTCCGGTCATTTGTTGTTATTATTAATCTGTGTTACAGTAGCACCTACCAGCTCCAGACATAGACCAGGGCCCCATGGCGCTAGGCGCTGTACAAACGCAGAACAAAAAGATCATCCCTGCCCCAAAGAGCTTCCAATCTAAGGGTATTGCCAAACTGCACACTGGCAGCATATAGACTATATACACTCCACACACACTCCACACAGATATAAACAGCAGTGTAGACGGCTTAGGGGAGTAAAGACACACCTGAACCCTTAGGGTATATGCCCTACACGGCTCTCTACAGGTCCCTCCAGGGGAAGAGCACAATGTGCGCGTCTCCTCAGTAACAAGCTGCAGAATAAATAGCAACTTGCTCCACATTCCTCTTTCAATTTAAAGAGACCGTCCACAGAAAGCAAAGGCATCACTGCTTCAAACTATGTACAGCACCGGGCGCGAGGTGTTGTAGCTTAGAGAATGTACCTGATCTGTACAGGAAAAACGAAGGCTGTTTCGCATCTATGGCAACTGACACGGGTCCGATATTGGCTACGGCATCCTTCAGGGCTGCTTCATCGGCATACGGGAGCTCAACGAACTTGGAGCAGGTGGCGGCTCGCGAGGCAGGGTTGTAGTGACACGTTCCGTTCTGGCAGGGGCAAAGAGCAGATGAAACAGGGACATTTCAGCCTCTCGCATGAACATCCAACCCACTCGCAGCATTTGTTTTTATCTCCCTTTTATTCCACTCTGTTGTCTGAATCCCTCTCATTTCTTAGATCACTGCTGCTCCCTCTGGAGCGTTCCTTCTGCC